GAGAAACCATTATACTTAGGTTCAAGTTATACAAGGCTTTCAGGATTATTGTTGTTGTATAATGTAAAAGGAAAATATGGATGGTCTGATCAAGGGTTCTCAGCTTTATTAGAAGCTCTTTCGAGTCTACTACCCACTGATAACACAATTCCCAAGTCAATGTATGAAGCTAAAAAAATAATGAAGGTGTTGGGTTTGGATTACCAAAAGATACATGCTTGTCGCAATGATTGCATCCTCTTTCATAAGCAACACAGTGATCTTGAAAAATGCCCTACGTGCGGAGAGTCTAGGTGGAAAGAGACAAAGAATGGATCCATCACAGCTACTAGTAGAATTCCTGAGAAAGTATTGTGGTACTTTCCTCCAATTCCTAGGTTCAAACGTATGTTCCAGTCTACTAAAACCGCTGAAGACATGACATGGCATGCAGACCATCGCATTAAAGATGGTAAATTACGTCATCCTGCTGATGCTCAAGCTTGGCATCACATTGATAAAATGTGGCCTGATTTTAGTCAAGATCCTAGGAATCTGAGGTTAGCTCTTTCAAGTGATGGAGTAAATCCACACAGTTCACTTAGTTCTTCGTATAGTTGTTGGCCTGTTCAGTTAGTCATTTATAATCTTCCCCCTTGGTTGACCATGAAAAGAAAATTCATGATGTTGTCTCTTTTAATTTCTGGTCCTAAACTTCCTGGGAATGATATAGATGTATATTTAGAACCCCTGATTGATGACCTAAAAACCCTGTGGAATGATGGTGTAGATGTTTTCGATAGTTTTAGAAAGGAGACCTTCAGGTTAAGAGCTATATTGATGTGGACCATAAGTGACTTCCCTGCTTATGGTAATCTGTCTGGTAGCACCGTGAAGGGGTATTTTGGATGTCCTGTTTGTGGGTCGGGCACTCGTTCAATATGGCTGAAATGTAGTAAGAAATGTGTCTATATGAGCCATCGGCGCTTTTTACCAAAAAACCATAGGTTTAGAGATTTAAAGAAAGTCTTCAATAATCAAGTTGAGAGAGAGGGACCTCCAGCAACCCTCTCCGGTGAAGATGTTCTGAAGTTGGTTGAAGGAATAAATTACAAAAGCGGGAAGCGTAAGGACCGCAAAAGAAAGAGAAAGCGTGATCACAATGATGGAGACAGTATATTGTTCAAGCGCAAATCAATTTTTTTTTATCTAGAGTATTGGAAGCATTTGTTGGTTCGCCATCTATTAGATGTGATGCACATAGAGAAGAATGTGTGTGAGAGCATCTATGGAACGCTTCTTGATCAATCGAGCAAAACAAAAGATGGACCTAGAGCTCGAGATGACCTTGCTCATTTGAACATTAGGAAAAACTTAATTCCTAAAGAGAATTCCAAATCATTGCCTCCAGCACCCTACACCCTGAGCAAAAAAGACAAACAAAAATTTTGTGAAACCATACTGCAAATAAAAGTGCCTGATGGTTATTCATCAAACCTGAAAAGCATAGTTTCTGATGATGACAGTCAACTTCAAGGTCTTAAATCTCATGATTGTCATACCTTGATGCAACAAATACTTCCCTTGGCCATTCGGAACATGTCAGTGGCAGAAAATGTTACCAACGCGATAACTAGTATGTGCTTATTCTTCAACAGACTATGTGAGAAGGTCCTAGATCCTGATTCACTTGATGATTGATAACCCGCTTTCGCGGCGTTGTAGTAAAACGGAGTCTAACCTTTCGGTTTTTCCCCGAGTATCGTATCTCTCAAGGAATGGCGGAGGAGCTTCTTGATTTCAAGTCCAGTCACAGGTTATCGCAAATTATTGGAAGCTTTCCAAATTAAAACTTTTGATTGATTTTCTAAACTACTTTTTGGAAAAGAAAGTAAATTAAATTGTGCAAATACTAATGATGGCTCAAAAATAGACTAAAGGAAAAAAATATAATATTAAACTTAAATGGATTGGTGCAAATAAGGGCAATGAATTGAGTAATTAGAAATGGATATATTCTTGGACCTAATAATTAGGGAAATTAAAACTAAAAGTGGACTAATAATTTCCTTCCTCATAGACAAGAATAGAAACTATTTTTATTAATTTATCCTATTTCTAGGTGTCATTAATGTGTTCAAAATGGTTGGCTTGAATTAAATTCTAACCTCATAGACAAGGTAGAAATAATTCTCCAATATTTTAATTAATAAAAATAGCCAAATTCATTAACTAGTTAAACTCATTATTTAAGCAATTGAATTTATCTCTCATAGACAAGATGTAAATCCCTTTCATTAAATTATCCTATTTCTAGGCCTTATTAATGTGCTCGAATATGGTTGGCTTAAATTATTTTCTAATCTCATAGACAAGTTAGAGATAATTTTCCAAGAATTTAATTAATGAATATGGCTAACAATTATTAATTACTATTTCATCATTTCAAACAACTAGTCCAAATTATTAATTTTAATCCCTAATTTTCGGTCAACAAGTCAATCCATATTCCTTTAGTCAATTCATGCCCAAAACAAATTTAGCTAATAAACATCATTTTTTCAATTAACAATATAAAGAATATATTCAACATTAACAAGGAATTACACATGGATGATGGCAAAACGTATATTCTGAAACAATAAACTTATAGGAACTAAAATATAACTGGAATTAGGACAGAAACTAATTTTTTGCCTTTTTTGAGTATTTAATTTAATTTATGCAATAATAACAACTAAATGCCGGAATTAATTAAAATTTACTTCTACTTCGTAAAAATTAAATTTGTTTTGATAAATAACTACCTGGAGGCTAGTAAAAAACTATATAATTAATTGGAATGTATTTAATGTCAACAACTATTTTATTCAAATTTAAGAAGAAAATGCGAAATAGTGGAATAATTTTCTGAAAATTTTAGAAGCACAGATAGAAAAAACTAAGGACAGATTCAGATTCTACTCATTGAAAGGATGAAAATACATATAAAGAACTCACAATTTGGAGCTAAAATGAGAAAGATATGAAAGATTGAAGTTGAAGGTGCAACAATGGTGGAAATCCGAGCCTTGAAGAGGAAGAAGACGCCCTTTTTGATCTGATTTGAGCTTGAAATTGGTGTGTTTGAGATGGGGAAAAAGCCTGCTATTTATAGCAGAAATTTCACCGAAGGCGCCCAAGACGGCGGCCGCCTTCCGTCGGAATCAGGCCGCCTTCCGTAGGCGGCCAACCAGGCGGCCGCCTTTGGTCTCATTTTGGCCGCCTTCCGTCCCATCGCCGACAGCGGATCGTGGCCGGTCTCGTCAGCCGTAGGCGGCCACAGAGGGCGGCCGCCTTCCGTCACAAATGGCCGCCTGCCGTCTTTTCGTTGGCAGATCGGATCCCGGCGGATCCCGGCGGATCCCGGCCGCCGCAGGCGGTCCAACAGGCGGCCGCCTGCCGTCCTGTCTGGCCGCCTGCCGTCCTGTCTGGCCGACCGGTGGTTGGTTTTGTCCCCTTGTGCCGCAGGCGGCCACCGTAGGCGGCCGCCTTCTGCCCAGTGTCGGCAGCCTTCGGTCTTTTTCTGGTCTCGAGTCAAAGCGAGGTTGACTTCTGATTTTTCCCGTAGGCGGCCGCGAAGGCCTCCATTTTGGGCGCCTATTTGGGCGCCTTCTGCCACTTTTGTCTGGCAGATGCGGCTTTTCCTGCTCTTCATTTTTGTCTTCTGAATCACCTTGATAAAATGCTTGCTTCTTCCGGTATAAATGTATTTGTCACTCAAATTGACTCATTTTGTGCTCAATTGACCCGAAATCCCGCTAAACATATTATGGATGTGATTTTTACCTGATTTCATGAAACTTGAACCAAAATATATAAAATGTGTCTTTTCTTTCTATTTTCATTCAAAAATCGCTTAAATTTGATAAGAAAAATAAGTACAAAAATGGACTTATCAATCTCCTCACACTTAAGCGTTGCTTGTCCTCAAGCGACGAATTAGTTGTAAACACACTCAAAAGGTAAAGCCTAACTGTATTACAATCTAATTGCTATTTTAAAGAAGTAGAAACAAAAACCTCTTCTTTTATTCTCAATTTTTAAACATTTTAGAAAAATCACCCAAAATACAAGAGTTTAAAATTAGTATTACTTAAGAAAAACTATTTATTATGTTAAACCACCAATCAATTCCTTATCCCAAGGTTTTCATTATTTTAATTTGGACATTCATCTTGTTCACCTTTTTTTTTTGCTCTTTTTCACTCTTGTTGGCGGTGTTATCCCATGGTAAATGCATATTTCATTCTCACAGACTGTGATTAACGAATGAAACAGAGCCCCTTTTCGGAGATGGAATTGTCCTATAACAATGAGTTTTGAAGAGGTTTATTAGTAGTAACATGTTTTTTTTTTTGATGAATAAAATGAATGTCCAATTAAAACAAATTCGGACCTTTACATTCGCAACCAAAAACCCATAACAATTTTAAGTTTTCAAAAATAATAATAAAAGTAAATTCTTATAATAAGGGTGATTATCTAAAGTATTTTATGATTTGATAACAAATTGAGAAATTAATGTTTCATATCAAAAATAGTAAAAAGATTGTTCTAAAACAAGGTTTTGACTTTTGAGTGTAAAACGCAACCTCCTCACACTTGAGCTGGACCTCGCCCTCGAGGTCTTCTTTTGAGGCACAAAATTGGGAAATAAAGGCACATTTTTTTTTTTGGTTCTTTCCTCACACTTGAGTTTTGAAAAGATTTTGTGAAGAGGAATAATGAAACAGGAATAAAAATCATTACATCATTCATAGTCAGTTTGTAAGAGCAATTAAGTCAAAAGAGCGGCACAATGTCCAACCTGAATAAACAAACAAACACAATAAAATGTTAAGGAAGAAAACTAAGCATCACTCGTGTCCTCCCGTAAGGCCTAAGCCAAACTCTTATTTCATCAACATTGAAGCACACCCTGCAAACACACAAAACAAACAAACAATGTTATGAAAAACATGGGTTGCCTCCCAAGAAGCGCTTCTTTAACGTCACTAGCTTGACGTTTGAGAGAGAACTCTCAGCTATGCATGTCAATTGTGGGGCACTCATCATTAGTGCTTCCACCTTATCCTCCAGGTATGCCGTCAGATGGCGTAGACCCTCAAACTCTCGTGGCCACCAAAATGTGATATAATCTTCAAAGAACACATCGTTCGAACAAGAAATTAGCACATATCCTGCATCACTCTCATTAGTATAATCAACAAGTATTTCAGGATCAGGGGCCTCAGGTGCCTGGAATCGCTCAAGTGGGACCACCATGGTAAGAACATTACGAGTAGGCTCCTCCTTTTGGGTTTCTTCTTCTTCAACTATGGCCTCGACATTTACAACACAAAATTCAAACTCCGTGTCACTCTCTAAAAATCCATCCCAACTTCGCTCACTACTCCCACAAATATCATCTAGGCAAACAAGTCCTTGCCTAGCACAATTATGCTCATCATCATTAAGTAGAGAATCAAAGAAGGCATCATCGGGCATTGTTTCCTCCACATCACAAGTTTCATCAACTATTTCAACAGGCGCTTGGGTTTGTGTAGGATCAAAATCATCATCAAGGCTATCCTTCAGGGAATTTTTAAATGAGAGGTCATCCATAGATGGTAGGGTAGGTTCCTCATCACAAAGTATCTCATCATCTATGATTTCTTCATCAACCTCATTGGGCACTTTCATATGGGGCTCTTGAGAACTAAGTTCTACGAGGATAGGCTCTCTCTCAGTAGCAATGAGAGGCTCGAAAGAAATAGGGGTGAGAAGAGTTTCAACCATCTCGCCCATGGTTACCGCAACCTCCTCCTTAGATTTAGCACCCTCCTCGTATGTCTCCTGTTGAACCTTGTGGTCATTGTCATAAATGATTTTTTCAAACAATTCCTTGATACTCTCATCATGAGATGCTAGTTCAATCCTTGTCTTTCTTAAGTCTTCCACAAAATCAAGTAAGGACGATTTTAACTCTTCGAGTTCGTGTTGAGGATAAGGTGAAATTCCAGAGTCACCCTCGTAGGAGTACTCGTTTGTGCTGGTGTAATGATTTTCTAGCCTTTCTTGGTAATTTTCATGATAATTAAAATCATCATGATAATTACCTTGATAGGAGAAATCATCACAGCCTTCAAAGTCTTGCCCTTGGTGGAAATAATTATCTTGAAATTGGTAATCTCCATACCCCAAAGGTGGATTTTCGCACCATTGATTGTTATCCTCATAACCTTGTCCATAGTATCCTTCATTTTGATTATTTTGAAAAGATTGTTGTTCATAGTATGGATAGTGATATGGTGGTTGAGAATTAAAGTGTTCACTTGAGTAATCCATGAGGAAATCTCAAGCAAACACGTGAGAACAAAACAAAAAAGAAAAAGAAAGTCTCCCTAACTTGAATTCGCCCATGCTAAAATCAAAATCAAGAAATCACCGTGCCATTCCCCGGCAACGGCGCCATTTGATAACCCGCTTTCGCGGCGTTGTAGTAAAACGGAGTCTAACCTTTCGGTTTTTCCCCGAGTATCGTATCTCTCGAGGAATGGCGGAGGAGCTTCTTGATTTCAAGTCCAGTCACAGGTTATCGCAAATTATTGGAAGCTTTCCAAATTAAAACTTTTGATTGATTTTCTAAACTACTTTTTGGAAAAGAAAGTAAATTAAATTGTGCAAATACTAATGATGGCTCAAAAATAGACTAAAGGAAAAAAATATAATATTAAACTTAAATGGATTGGTGCAAATAAGGGCAATGAATTGAGTAATTAGAAATGGATATATTCTTGGACCTAATAATTAGGGAAATTAAAACTAAAAGTGGACTAATAATTTCCTTCCTCATAGACAAGAATAGAAACTATTTTCATTAATTTATCCTATTTCTAGGTGTCATTAATGTGTTCAAAATGGTTGGCTTGAATTAAATTCTAACCTCATAGACAAGGTAGAAATAATTCTCCAATATTTTAATTAATAAAAATAGCCAAATTCATTAACTAGTTAAACTCATTATTTAAGCAATTGAATTTATCTCTCATAGACAAGATGTAAATCCCTTTCATTAAATTATCCTATTTCTAGGCCTTATTAATGTGCTCGAATATGGTTGGCTTAAATTATTTTCTAATCTCATAGACAAGTTAGAGATAATTTTCCAAGAATTTAATTAATGAATATGGCTAACAATTATTAATTACTATTTCATCATTTCAAACAACTAGTCCAAATTATTAATTTTAATCCCTAATTTTCGGTCAACAAGTCAATCCATATTCCTTTAGTCAATTCATGCCCAAAACAAATTTAGCTAATAAACATCATTTTTTCAATTAACAATATAAAGAATATATTCAACATTAACAAGGAATTACACATGGATGATGGCAAAACGTATATTCTGAAACAATAAACTTATAGGAACTAAAATATAACTGGAATTAGGACAGAAACTAATTTTTTGCCTTTTTTGAGTATTTAATTTAATTTATGCAATAATAACAACTAAATGCCGGAATTAATTAAAATTTACTTCTACTTCGTAAAAATTAAATTTGTTTTGATAAATAACTACCTGGAGGCTAGTAAAAAACTATATAATTAATTGGAATGTATTTAATGTCAACAACTATTTTATTCAAATTTAAGAAGAAAATGCGAAATAGTGGAATAATTTTCTGAAAATTTTAGAAGCACAGATAGAAAAAACTAAGGACAGATTCAGATTCTACTCATTGAAAGGATGAAAATACATATAAAGAACTCACAATTTGGAGCTAAAATGAGAAAGATATGAAAGATTGAAGTTGAAGGTGCAACAATGGTGGAAATCCGAGCCTTGAAGAGGAAGAAGACGCCCTTTTTGATCTGATTTGGGCTTGAAATTGGTGTGTTTGAGATGGGGAAAAAGCCTGCTATTTATAGCAGAAATTTCACCGAAGGCGCCCAAGACGGCGGCCGCCTTCCGTCGGAATCAGGCCGCCTTCCGTAGGCGGCCAACCAGGCGGCCGCCTTTGGTCTCATTTTGGCCGCCTTCCGTCCCATCGCCGACAGCGGATCGTGGCCGGTCTCGTCAGCCGTAGGCGGCCACAGAGGGCGGCCGCCTTCCGTCACAAATGGCCGCCTGCCGTCTTTTCGTTGGCAGATCGGATCCCGGCGGATCCCGGCGGATCCCGGCCGCCGCAGGCGGTCCAACAGGCGGCCGCCTGCCGTCCTGTCTGGCCGCCTGCCGTCCTGTCTGGCCGACCGGTGGTTGGTTTTGTCCCCTTGTGCCGCAGGCGGCCACCGTAGGCGGCCGCCTTCTGCCCAGTGTCGGCAGCCTTCGGTCTTTTTCTGGTCTCGAGTCAAAGCGAGGTTGACTTCTGATTTTTCCCGTAGGCGGCCGCGAAGGCCTCCATTTTGGGCGCCTATTTGGGCGCCTTCTGCCACTTTTGTCTGGCAGATGCGGCTTTTCCTGCTCTTCATTTTTGTCTTCTGAATCACCTTGATAAAATGCTTGCTTCTTCCGGTATAAATGTATTTGTCACTCAAATTGACTCATTTTGTGCTCAATTGACCCGAAATCCCGCTAAACATATTATGGATGTGATTTTTACCTGATTTCATGAAACTTGAACCAAAATATATAAAATGTGTCTTTTCTTTCTATTTTCATTCAAAAATCGCTTAAATTTGATAAGAAAAATAAGTACAAAAATGGACTTATCAATCTCCTCACACTTAAGCGTTGCTTGTCCTCAAGCGACGAATTAGTTGTAAACACACTCAAAAGGTAAAGCCTAACTGTATTACAATCTAATTGCTATTTTAAAGAAGTAGAAACAAAAACCTCTTCTTTTATTCTCAATTTTTAAACATTTTAGAAAAATCACCCAAAATACAAGAGTTTAAAATTAGTATTACTTAAGAAAAACTATTTATTATGTTAAACCACCAATCAATTCCTTATCCCAAGGTTTTCATTATTTTAATTTGGACATTCATCTTGTTCACCTTTTTTTTTTTGCTCTTTTTCACTCTTGTTGGCGGTGTTATCCCATGGTAAATGCATATTTCATTCTCACAGACTGTGATTAACGAATGAAACAGAGCCCCTTTTCGGAGATGGAATTGTCCTATAACAATGAGTTTTGAAGAGGTTTATTAGTAGTAACATGTTTTTTTTTGATGAATAAAATGAATGTCCAATTAAAACAAATTCGGACCTTTACATTCGCAACCAAAAACCCATAACAATTTTAAGTTTTCAAAAATAATAATAAAAGTAAATTCTTATAATAAGGGTGATTATCTAAAGTATTTTATGATTTGATAACAAATTGAGAAATTAATGTTTCATATCAAAAATAGTAAAAAGATTGTTCTAAAACAAGGTTTTGACTTTTGAGTGTAAAACGCAACCTCCTCACACTTGAGCTGGACCTCGCCCTCGAGGTCTTCTTTTGAGGCACAAAATTGGGAAATAAAGGCACATTTTTTTTTTTGGTTCTTTCCTCACACTTGAGTTTTGAAAAGATTTTGTGAAGAGGAATAATGAAACAGGAATAAAAATCATTACATCATTCATAGTCAGTTTGTAAGAGCAATTAAGTCAAAAGAGCGGCACAATGTCCAACCTGAATAAACAAACAAACACAATAAAATGTTAAGGAAGAAAACTAAGCATCACTCGTGTCCTCCCGTAAGGCCTAAGCCAAACTCTTATTTCATCAACATTGAAGCACACCCTGCAAACACACAAAACAAACAAACAATGTTATGAAAAACATGGGTTGCCTCCCAAGAAGCGCTTCTTTAACGTCACTAGCTTGACGTTTGAGAGAGAACTCTCAGCTATGCATGTCAATTGTGGGGCACTCATCATTAGTGCTTCCACCTTATCCTCCAGGTATGCCGTCAGATGGCGTAGACCCTCAAACTCTCGTGGCCACCAAAATGTGATATAATCTTCAAAGAACACATCGTTCGAACAAGAAATTAGCACATATCCTGCATCACTCTCATTAGTATAATCAACAAGTATTTCAGGATCAGGGGCCTCAGGTGCCTGGAATCGCTCAAGTGGGACCACCATGGTAAGAACATTACGAGTAGGCTCCTCCTTTTGGGTTTCTTCTTCTTCAACTATGGCCTCGACATTTACAACACAAAATTCAAACTCCGTGTCACTCTCTAAAAATCCATCCCAACTTCGCTCACTACTCCCACAAATATCATCTAGGCAAACAAGTCCTTGCCTAGCACAATTATGCTCATCATCATTAAGTAGAGAATCAAAGAAGGCATCATCGGGCATTGTTTCCTCCACATCACAAGTTTCATCAACTATTTCAACAGGCGCTTGGGTTTGTGTAGGATCAAAATCATCATCAAGGCTATCCTTCAGGGAATTTTTAAATGAGAGGTCATCCATAGATGGTAGGGTAGGTTCCTCATCACAAAGTATCTCATCATCTATGATTTCTTCATCAACCTCATTGGGCACTTTCATATGGGGCTCTTGAGAACTAAGTTCTACGAGGATAGGCTCTCTCTCAGTAGCAATGAGAGGCTCGAAAGAAATAGGGGTGAGAAGAGTTTCAACCATCTCGCCCATGGTTACCGCAACCTCCTCCTTAGATTTAGCACCCTCCTCGTATGTCTCCTGTTGAACCTTGTGGTCATTGTCATAAATGATTTTTTCAAACAATTCCTTGATACTCTCATCATGAGATGCTAGTTCAATCCTTGTCTTTCTTAAGTCTTCCACAAAATCAAGTAAGGACGATTTTAACTCTTCGAGTTCGTGTTGAGGATAAGGTGAAATTCCAGAGTCACCCTCGTAGGAGTACTCGTTTGTGCTGGTGTAATGATTTTCTAGCCTTTCTTGGTAATTTTCATGATAATTAAAATCATCATGATAATTACCTTGATAGGAGAAATCATCACAGCCTTCAAAGTCTTGCCCTTGGTGGAAATAATTATCTTGAAATTGGTAATCTCCATACCCCAAAGGTGGATTTTCGCACCATTGATTGTTATCCTCATAACCTTGTCCATAGTATCCTTCATTTTGATTATTTTGAAAAGATTGTTGTTCATAGTATGGATAGTGATATGGTGGTTGAGAATTAAAGTGTTCACTTGAGTAATCCATGAGGAAATCTCAAGCAAACACGTGAGAACAAAACAAAAAAGAAAAAGAAAGTCTCCCTAACTTGAATTCGCCCATGCTAAAATCAAAATCAAGAAATCACCGTGCCATTCCCCGGCAACGGCGCCATTTGATAACCCGCTTTCGCGGCGTTGTAGTAAAACGGAGTCTAACCTTTCGGTTTTTCCCCGAGTATCGTATCTCTCGAGGAATGGCGGAGGAGCTTCTTGATTTCAAGTCCAGTCACAGGTTATCGCAAATTATTGGAAGCTTTCCAAATTAAAACTTTTGATTGATTTTCTAAACTACTTTTTGGAAAAGAAAGTAAATTAAATTGTGCAAATACTAATGATGGCTCAAAAATAGACTAAAGGAAAAAAATATAATATTAAACTTAAATGGATTGGTGCAAATAAGGGCAATGAATTGAGTAATTAGAAATGGATATATTCTTGGACCTAATAATTAGGGAAATTAAAACTAAAAGTGGACTAATAATTTCCTTCCTCATAGACAAGAATAGAAACTATTTTCATTAATTTATCCTATTTCTAGGTGTCATTAATGTGTTCAAAATGGTTGGCTTGAATTAAATTCTAACCTCATAGACAAGGTAGAAATAATTCTCCAATATTTTAATTAATAAAAATAGCCAAATTCATTAACTAGTTAAACTCATTATTTAAGCAATTGAATTTATCTCTCATAGACAAGATGTAAATCCCTTTCATTAAATTATCCTATTTCTAGGCCTTATTAATGTGCTCGAATATGGTTGGCTTAAATTATTTTCTAATCTCATAGACAAGTTAGAGATAATTTTCCAAGAATTTAATTAATGAATATGGCTAACAATTATTAATTACTATTTCATCATTTCAAACAACTAGTCCAAATTATTAATTTTAATCCCTAATTTTCGGTCAACAAGTCAATCCATATTCCTTTAGTCAATTCATGCCCAAAACAAATTTAGCTAATAAACATCATTTTTTCAATTAACAATATAAAGAATATATTCAACATTAACAAGGAATTACACATGGATGATGGCAAAACGTATATTCTGAAACAATAAACTTATAGGAACTAAAATATAACTGGAATTAGGACAGAAACTAATTTTTTGCCTTTTTTGAGTATTTAATTTAATTTATGCAATAATAACAACTAAATGCCGGAATTAATTAAAATTTACTTCTACTTCGTAAAAATTAAATTTGTTTTGATAAATAACTACCTGGAGGCTAGTAAAAAACTATATAATTAATTGGAATGTATTTAATGTCAACAACTATTTTATTCAAATTTAAGAAGAAAATGCGAAATAGTGGAATAATTTTCTGAAAATTTTAGAAGCACAGATAGAAAAAACTAAGGACAGATTCAGATTCTACTCATTGAAAGGATGAAAATACATATAAAGAACTCACAATTTGGAGCTAAAATGAGAAAGATATGAAAGATTGAAGTTGAAGGTGCAACAATGGTGGAAATCCGAGCCTTGAAGAGGAAGAAGACGCCCTTTTTGATCTGATTTGGGCTTGAAATTGGTGTGTTTGAGATGGGGAAAAAGCCTGCTATTTATAGCAGAAATTTCACCGAAGGCGCCCAAGACGGCGGCCGCGAGGTGGTATTTGTGAAAGAGAGAAGGACTGGAATGAAAGCTAAGTCCCAGCTAAATGTGCAACGAATGACCAGGTCCGTTGCTGAAAAAAGAAAAGAACAAAGCGCTAACATGACGATGTTTTGCATTTTAGTGGAAAATTGTTTAGGAGAGATGAACAGCATCAAGCAAGATGCTGAAATTTTTGGATTCCAAACAAAATCTATGTTTAACAAGGAGGTTTGCCGCTGTGTTATCAACTTTGAGCAGGTTTCAAATTCAGTTGTTGAAATTTGGGCGAGGTAATAAGTTCCTGTTTGGTATATATTACATTTAGTTGCATTAAAATCATTATTGTATTACAGTATTAAGCGGTAAGAGTATGTTATTATAAACATCAAAATGAATGAACTTAATTCAACTTGATGAGTAATAACTTAATAGGTACTTGCATGAGAGAATGGAGGCTGATGGAGGGGACATGCCAGTCCAGTTTGGTACTTCTGCTGCCATAGCAATACCAAAGAGGGCATCACACCAAGCTGTTACTAGGAGGTCACAATACATAGCTGATCTTTTGGATATTTCCTTGCTCGGACAAATGACTTTAATCCCCTATAATACCGGGTAAGTAATCTCTTTTGCAAGTGACTTGTATTTTTGCAAACAATGGTGCTTTTCTAATTACATATAGTTTCATTGTTATGTAGGAATCATTGGGTGTTGGTCGCCATCGACATGGCGGCTGAAACGATTTACTACCTAGATTCCTTGGGAGGAATTCCATCGAAGGATTTGGAGGAAATCGTGAATCAGTTAAGTTACATAGGCCCTTTAAATGTAAATCTTGATTGCATGTACACTTTATGAGAAAATATTGGATCGGTTGAATTTTACTAATGACTGTGTTTCCTTTTCAGAGGGGTGACGATTAATCATGCCCAAAAATCCAAGAAAAGGTTGAATTTAAAATGGGTGAGAGTGATGGTATGTACCCTTTGATGTTTATTATCACTTTCAGTATAAATTTATTTATCCAAGTCAACAATTTATATATGTGTGTAAATTGTGTATCATTCATATGTGTGTAAACTCTATTATGTTTGGATATATGATTAGAGATTTCTTGACTGGATAATTTGGAAGTTTTTAAATTAGCGGCTGTGATTTGTACGTGAGATCCTTTTGACTAAAGATCAGAAATCTGAATTGGTGCTTTGTAGTACGGAAAGGCAGTTCACTAAAATTAATGGATCTTTGTTATGAACCATGTTTGTTCAGTTATTTTCTGAATTTAGATACTCATCTCTTGCAAGTTATTATTCAGATTAATTTTATTTAATCTGAATGTGTTTAGGAGCTGTTTTTGCAAATAAGGCAGTTCACTAAAATTAATGGATCTTTGTTATGAAGCATGTTTGTTCAGTTATTTTCTGAATTTAGATACTCATCTCTTGCAAGTTATTATTCAGATTAATTTTATTTAATCTGAATGTGTTTAGGAGCTGTTTTTAATTTGCACCCATTGTTTTTAATTCTATATTGTTCATATGAATAGCATTTTACCTTACATGTGAGATTCCTTTGACTAAGCTTTTGTGTTGTAAGGTCCATAATTCAAACTGCATTTTTGAAATATGGAAAGACAAATTATTAAACACAATTGGTCCTTCATATCATCCCTTTTTAAGTTCTATTCTTATTTTAGATACTCCATCCCTAGGAACAATATTTATTAGTTGCAAGTTTTTAAATTAGTGGTTGTGATTTGTATGCCGCAAGTTTTAATCAGTATGAACTGTCCCGGCCAGAAAATATTTGTTTATTATTCTATTATTATTAGTTTGTTAGTTAATTAAATCAATGTATATGATAGAGGGTAGGTAGATGCACATGATATGAAGAAGGTAGTTTCTGAATTAAAGAGAGTAAAGATTCCAGATTGAATAATAATATTAGTGAAAAATCTGGATCAAATGGTGATGCTATCTATCTGTTTCACATGTCATGCACAAATAGGGTAATAGCCATTCCATATACCTACTTGCAAGTCTCAAGTTGCATAAAAATCATGGCTCAACCAACCAAGGGAATCTGGTCCAAAGGATAAAAAATAATAAAATCCCTTTGCAGAGGCCAATCCATGAAGCATACTCCTATTGAATTATTGCAATTTGTTTTAAAGAAGTGAGTTAAAGAAGTGAATTATTGCAATCCATTCAATACTTGACTTGATTATTTTTTTACTATAACTTGTTCTTTGTTTTAGTAAATCTTAGTTTGTATTTATTGTCTATTTAAATTGAATATATGCAGTGCCCTAAGCAAACAGGAGGAGTTGAGTGTGGTTACTTTGTGATGAAGTACATGAAGGATATTGTATCAGACGTGAATCTTTTGAAAAAGAATGTGAGCGCAATTAATTAATTAGTGTATCTTGTAATCATAGTAAGTGCTAATTAATTTAATT